TAATGAACAGACTGAAATAGATAGATAGATAGATAGATGATGAGACTGAAATAGATAGATAGATAGATAGATGATAACAGACTGAAATAGATAGATAGATAGATAGATAGATAGATAGATAGATGATAACAGACTGAAATAGATAGATAGATAGATGATAACAGACTGAAATAGATAGATAGATAGATAGATAGATGATAACAGACTGAAATAGATAGATAGATAGATGATAACAGACTGAAATAGATAAATATAGATAGATGATAGATAGATAGATAGATGATAACAGACTGAAATAGATAGATAGATAGATAGATAGATGATAACAGACTGAAATAGATAGATAGATAGATAGATGATAACAGACTGAAATAGATAGATAGATAGATAGATAGATAGATAGATGATAACAGACTGAAATAGATAGATAGATAGATAGATAGATGATGATAACAGACTGAAATAGATAGATAGATAGATAGATAGATAGATGATAGATAACAGACTGAAATAGATAGATAGATAGATAGATGATAACAGACTGAAATAGATAGATAGATAGATAGATAGATGATGAACAGACTGAAATAGATAGATAGATAGATAGATGATGATAAATGAATAGATAGATAGATAGATAGATGATAACAGACTGAAATAGATAGATAGATAGATAGATAGATGGATGAAATAGATAGATAGATAGATAGATAGATAGATAGATAACAGACTGAAATAGATAGATAGATAGATAGATAGATGATAGATAGATAGATAGATAGATAGATAGATAGATAGATAGATGAAACAGACTGAAATAGATAGATAGATAGATATGATGAAATAGATAAATGATAAATATGATGAAATAGATAATAGATAGATAGATAGATGATAACAGACTGAAATAGATAGATAGATAGATAGATAGATGATGAAACAGACTGAAAGATAGATAGATAGATAGATAATAATGATAAATAGACTGAAATAGATAGATAGATAGGATAGATAGATAGATGAACAGACTGAAATAGATAGATAGATAGATAGATAGATGATATAACAGACTGAAATAGATGAATAGATAGATAGATAGATAGATGATAACAGACTGAAATAGATAGATAGATAGATAGATAGATGATAACAGACTGAAATAGATAGATAGATAGATAGATAGATGATAACAGACTGAAATAGATAGATAGATAGATAGATGATAACAGACTGAAATAGATAGATAGATAGATAGATAGATGATAACAGACTGAAATAGATAGATAGATAGATAGATAGATGATAACAGACTGAAATAGATAGATAGATAGATAGATAGATGATAACAGACTGAAATAGATAGATAGATAGATAGATAGATGAATAGATGACTGAAAGATAGATAGATAGATAGATAATAGATAGATAGAATATGAAACAGATAGATAGATAGATAATAACAGATAGATAGATGAACAGATAGATGAAAACAGATGAGATAGATAGATAGATAGATGATAAAAGACTGACTGGATAGATAGATAGATAGATAGATGAAACAGACTGAAATAGATAGATAGATAGATAGATAGAATAGATGAAATAGATAGATAGATGAAATAGATAGATAATAGATAGATAGATAGATAGATAGATGATAACAGATAAATAGATAGATAGATAGATAGATAGATGATAATGACTGAAATAGATAGATAGATAGATAGATAGATGATGAACAGACTGAAATAGATATAGATAGATAGATAGATGAACAGACTGAAATAGATATAGATAGATAGATAGATGATAACAGACTGAAATAGATAGATAGATAGATAGATGATAACAGACTGAAATAGATAGATAGATAGATAGATAGATGATAACAGACTGAAATAGATAGATAGATAGATAGATGATAACAGACTGAAATAGATAGATAGACAGATAGATGATAACAGACTGAAATAGATAGATAGATAGATAGAATAACAGATGAAATAATAGATAGATAGATAGATGATACAAACTGACTGAAATAGATAGATAGATAGATAGATAGATGAGATAGATGAAGATAGATAGATAGATAGATGATGAACAGACTGAAAAGATAGATAGATAGATAGATGATGAACAGACTGAAATAGATAGATAGATAGATAGATAGATAGATAGATAATAGACTGAAATAGATAGATAGATAGACAGATAGATAGATAATAGATAGAAATAGATAGATAGATAGATAGATAGATGATGAACAGACTGAAATAGATAGATAGATAGATAGATAGATAGATAATAGACAGATAGATAGATAGATAGATAGAAATAGATAGATAGATAGATAGATAGACAGACTGAAATAGATAGATAGATAGATAGATAATGATAACAGACTGAAATAGATAGATAGATAGATAGATAGATGATAACAGATAGAAATAGATAGATAGATAGATAGATAGATGATAACAGACTGAAATAGATAGATAGATAGATAGATAGATGATAATAGACTGAAATAGATAGATAGATAGATAGATGATAGATAGACTGAAATAGATAGATAGATAGATAGATAGATAATAACAGACTGAAATAGATAGATAGATAGATAGATGAAACAGACTGAAATAGATAGATAGATAGATAGATAGATAGATGATAAAAGACTGAAATAGATAGATAGATAGATAGATAGATAGAGACTGATAATAGATAGATAGATAGATAGATAGATAGATAGATAGACTGAAATAGATAGATAGATAGATAATAGATAAATAGATAGATAGATAGATAGATGATAACAGACTGAAATAGATAGATAGATAGATAGATAGATGATAACAGACTGAAATAGATAGATAGATAGATAGATAGATGATAACAGACTGAAATAGATAGATAGATAGATAGATAGATGATAACAGACTGAAATAGATAGATAGATAGATAGATAGATAGATGATAACAGACTGAAATAGATAGATAGATAGATGATAACAGACTGAAATAGATAGATAGATAGATAGATGAAACAGACTGAAATAGATAGATAGATAGATAGATAATGAACAGACTGAAAGATAGATAGATAGATAGATAGATAGATAATAGAAGATAGATGAAATAGATGAATAGATAGATAGATAGATATGAAATAGACTGAAATAGATAGATAGATAGATAGATAGATGATAACAGACTGAAATAGATAGATAGATAGATAGATAGATGAATAACAGACTGAAATAGATAGATAGATAGATAGATATGATAGATAATAGAACAGATAGAAATAGATAGATAGATAGATAGATAATGATACAGACTGAAATAATGAGATAGATAGATAGATGAAATAGACTGAAATAGATAGATAGATAGATAGATAGAACAGACTGAATAGACCAAAGATAGATAGATGAGAACAGACTGAAATAGATTCATAGATAGATAGATAGATAGATAGATAGATGAACAGACTGAAATAGATAGATAGATAGATAGATAGATGAATGAACAGACTGAAATAGATAGATAGATAGATAGATAGATGAACAGACTGAAATAGATAGATAGATAGATAATGATAACAGACTGATAATAGATAGATAGATAGATAGATAATAGACAGATGAATAGATAGATAGATAGATAGATGATGATGAATAGATAGATAGACGAATATTTGATAGATAGATAGATAGATGACAGACTAAATAGATTGATAGATAGATAGATAATGAGAACAGATGAATAGATAGATAGATAGAGATAGATGTTAACAGACTGAAATAGATGATAGATAGATGATAATGAACAGACTGAAATAGATAGATAGATAGATAGATAGATGATAACAGACTTGAAATAGATAGATAGATAGATAGATAAACAACAGACTGAAATAGATAGATGCGATAGATAGATAGATGATATGACTGAAATAGATAGATAGATGGAAATGAACAGACTGAGATAGGATAGATAGATAGATAATGAACAGACTGAGCTGGATAGAGAGAAATGAACAGACTGAATAATAGATAGATAGATGCGATAATGAACAGACTGAGCTGGAGATAGATGAATAGACTGACTGAGAGAGAGAGATAGAAATGAAATAGACTGAGCTGGAGATAGATAGATAGATAGATGGAGAATGAAATGACTGAATGAGATGGAGATAGATAGAAATGGTATGAACTGAGAGAGATAATGATAGATAGATAGATAGATGAAATAATGAAATAGATGATAGATAGATAGAAATGAACAGACTGAAATAGATAGATAGAGAGAAATGAACAGACTGAGCTGGAGAGAGAGAAATGAACAGACTGAGCTGGAGAGAGAGAGAGAGAAATGAACAGACTGAGATGGAGAGAGAGAAATGAACAGACTGGAGAGAGAGAGAAATGAACAGACTGAGATAGATAGAGAGAGAAATGAACAGACTGAGCTGGAGAGATGAATAATGAACAGACTGAGCTGGAGATAGATAGAAATGAACAGACTGAGCTGGAGATAGATGAATGAACAGACTGAGCTGGAGAGATAGATGAGATAGATAGATGAACAGACTGAGATAGAGAGAGAAATGAACAGACTGAGATGGAGAGAGAGAGAGAGAAATGAACAGACTGAGCTGGAGAGAGAGAGAGAGAAATGAACAGACTGAGCTGGAGAGAGAGAGAGAGAAATGAACAGACTGAGCTGAGAGATAAATAGATAGATGGAGAGAGAGAGAGAAATGAATAGACTGAGCTGGAGATAGAGAGATAGATAGATAATGAACAGACTGAAATGGAGAGAGAGATAAATGAACAGACTGAGCTGGAGAGAGAGAGATAGATGAATAGATAGAGAGAGAGAGAAATGAACAGACTGAGCTGGAGAGAGAGAGAAATGAACAGACTGAGCTGGAGAGAGAGAGAGAGAAATGAACAGACTGAGCTGGAGAGAGAGAGAAATGAACAGACTGAGCTGGAGAAAGAGAGAGAGAAATGAATGGACTAGACTGACTGAGATGGAGAGAGAGAGAAATGAAAGAAATGAAGACTGAGATGAGAGAACAGACTGAGCTGGAGAGAGAGAAATGAACAGACTGAGATGGAGAGAGAGAGAGAGAGAAATGAACAGACTGAGATGGAGAGAGAGAGAGAGAAATGAACAGACTGAGATGGAGAGAGAGAGAGAGAAATGAACAGACTGAGCTGGAGAGAGAGAGAGAGAAATGAACAGACTGAGTTGGAGAGAGAGAGAGAGAAATGAACAGACTGAGAGAGAGAGATAATGAACAGACTGAAATGGAGAGAGAGAAAAATGAACAGACTGAGCTGGAGATAGAAATGAGATGAATGATAGAGAAATGAACAGACTGATAGATAGAGAAGAGAGAAATGAACAGACTGAAAGCTGAAAGAGATAGAAATGAACAGACTGAGAGAGAGAAATGAGATAGACTGAGAGAGAGATAAATGAACAGACTGAGCTGGAGATAGAGAGATGAATAGACTGAGCTGGAGAGAGATAGAAATGAATAGACTGAGCTGGAGAGAGAGAACAGACTGAGCTGGAGAGAGAGAGAGAAATGAACAGACTGAGCTGGAGAGAGAGAAATGAATAGACTGAGCTGAGAGAGAAAAGATAGATAGATAGAAATGAATGAATAGACTGAGAGAGAGAGAGATAAATGAACAGACTGAGATGGAGAGAGAGAATGAACAGACTGAGAATGGAGATGGATAGAAAAATGAACAGACTGAGCTGGAGAGAGAAAATGAACAGACTGAGCTGGATAGATAATGAACAGACTGAGCTGGAGAGAGATGTTGAACAGACTGAGCTGGAGAGACTGAAATGAACAGACTGAGATGAGAGAGAGAGAGAAATGAACAGACTGAACAGACTGAGATGGATAGATGAGAGAGATGAACAGATAGATAGATGAACAGAGAGAGAGAATATGAACAGACTGAGCTGGATAGAGAGAGAAATGAACAGACTGAGCTGGAGAGAGAGAAATGAATAGATAGATAAATGAAATGAGACTGAGCTGGAGATAGATAGATAGAAGATGAACAGACTGAGATGGAGATAGATAGAGAGATAATGAACAGACTGAGCTGGAGAGAGAGAAATGAACATGAGATGGATAGATAGAAATGAACAGACTGAGAGATGAACAGAGAGATGAACAGACTGAGAGGAGAGAGAAAATGAACAGACTGAGCTGGAGAGAGAGAGAGAGAGAATGAACAGAACTGATGAGATAGAGAGAGAAATGAACAGACTGAGCTGGAGAGATGGATGAAAATGAACAGACTGAGCTGGAGAGAGATAGAGAGAAATGAACAGACTGGAAGAGCTGGATAGAGAGAGAGAAAACAGAACAGACTGAGATGGAGATGGATAGATGGAGAGAAGATGAATAGACTGAGCTGGAGAGAGAGAGAGAAAGAGAACAGACTGAGCTGGATGAGAGAGAGAGAGAGAAAAATGAACAGACTGAGCTGGAGAGAGATAGATAGAAAGATGAACAGAACAGAGAGAGAAATGAACAGACTGAGCTGGAGAGAGAGATAAATGAACAGACTGAGCTGGAGAGAGAGATAAATGAACAGACTGAGCTGGAGAGAGAGAGAGAGAAATGAATAGACTGAGCTGGAGAGAGAGAGAGAGAAATGAATAGACTGAGCTGGAGAGAGAGAGATGAGAGCTGGATGAACAGACTGAGCTGGAGAGAGAGATAAAGAAGAACAGATGAATAGACTGAGAGGAGAGAGAGAGATGAATAGAAATGGAAGATAGAAATGAGACTGAGCTGGAGAGAGAGAGAGAGAAAAATGAAATAGACTGAGCTGGAGAGATAGAGAGAAATGAATAGACTGAGAGAGATAGAGAGAGAGAGAGAAATGAATAGACTGAGCTGGAGAGAGAGAGAGAGAAATGAATAGACTGAGCTGGAGAGAGAGAGAGAAATGAATAGACTGAGCTGGAGAGAGAGAGAGAGAAATGAATAGACTGAGCTGGAGAGAGAGAGAAATGAATAGACTGAGCTGGAGAGAGAGAGAGAGAAATGAATAGACTGAGCTGGAGAGAGAGAGAGAGAAATGAATAGACTGAGCTGGAGAGAGAGAGAGAGAAATGAATAGACTGAGCTGGAGAGAGAAATGAATAGACTGAGCTGGAGAAAGAGAGAGAGAAATGAATAGACTGAGCTGGAGAAAGAGAGAGAGAAATGAACAGACAGCTGGAGAAAGAGAGAGAGAAATGAACAGACTGAGCTGGAGAGAGAGAAATGAACAGACTGAGCTGGAGAGAGAGAAATGAACAGACTGAGCTGGAGAGAGAGAAATGAACAGACTGAGCTGGAGAGAGAGAAATGAACAGACTGAGCTGGAGAGAGAGAAATGAACAGACTGAGCTGGAGAGAGAATGAACAGACTGACTGAGATAGATGAACAGGAGAGAGAGAAATGAACAGACTGAGCTGGAGAGAGAGAAATGAACAGACTGAGCTGGAGAGAGAGAAATGAACAGACTGAGCTGGAGAGAGAGAAATGAACAGACTGAGCTGGAGAGAGAGAGTTGGATGGGGAAAGATGAACATATGAGAACCAATGTTTCAACATGATATGGCCCTAAGTCTAAAAAGGAACAGTTTAAGTTGTCTGGATTTATTAAATATACAATATTGCATTATTCCTATTTATAAATTTTAGTTCGGTACTATACAAAGGTAAATTGAATTAAAAAGACTATATTGCACCAATTCTTCAAAATTGGGGAGGGATTAACTGGTTTACCTTTGAAATCATTATCTTAAATTTTGGGACAACATATATTGTACGTGTATTTATTACAATGTGCATTACAATAACGTCCTTTCTAATTACCCTCCAAATGTCAAAAGAACAAAGAATGATATCTACTTACTGATAATAAGAACTCCATAACCCATGTTTGGCTCCCCCATCCTGTAGCTACATGTTGGCACCATTATTTCGACCAAAGTACTTCTCTCATCCGTCTCAATTTTGATGATGTCTTCCTCAGGAGTTAAATCACGTCTCGTCAATGGCCAGTGATCTCCATCTTCATTCAGTCTCGACAAACAATCGTCACATATAAATAAGTTAGCCTTTTAGAAAAGAAATACAAATAAAAGAAAAAATATATAACAAGAAGACATGTCAAAAAAAACTGTAAAAAAAACTGTTAAAAAACTGTTTAAATAACTGTTTTTAAAAAAAAATGTTTAAAAAAAACTGTTTAAAAAAGGTTGGTGTTATTCCCTTCAAGTGAACATCATCTCAACCAGCCCTTATCGACAAGGACCACTGATGGGCTTCAAATATTAAACAATAAAACAGAATTTTTTTCTCTGAATTTCATGGATGAGGAGTTATCATTATTTACACTATTTATATTCAGACATCATCTTTGTTGTTATTATCATTACATTCCAGCTGTCATAAACAGTACTAAATACAAATAAGAACTAAACAATATCCCTAGATATGAGCAGTGAAACAGTCTACCCCATAGAGCAACCTTTAGCACTCTGCATTACTAATATTACTTCCCTTTCCATTGCATTCTTTTTCAAAGCCTCTCAATTGCAGTAGCCTTATTGTTAATTTCACTCGGAGGTGTTTTCTGTTGCCATAGCAGGATATGACAACACAACTATGAAATTCAAGCACATTGTTCAGGGATTAGTTACCTTCAGTGGTAGGATAATTTTTTTGTACAGCAAATGAAGTCACATACAGAGTGATAAGGGTTAAATAAAGGGTTCAGTTAAAAATTCCCTGTAGGTTACCCAGATCAATATACACCTGAAGAAAGCCATAGGACACAACAGCCAAAACGTTGTGATAACACAGATGAGGACAATAGTCCAAATATAAACAGTGTAAATAATAAAACAAAATTACCAATAAAAACAAAGGTAAAACAGTTTTAAAAGTAGATTTTACCTGTCATCTCACAAAAAAAAAAAAGAAAAGATTATGCCATGTAAGCTGAAGGAGTAAAGAAAGTCCTTCTGCTAGCAATGAGAGTGTGGACTATGCAACTCTTAGAATATTTTGTACAGAAAATGATTATCAATAATGTCTTGACTGAAATCGAAAATATTCTGCAAATGTACACTACAGGCAAAAAGTTTGGTGGCTCACTCTGCATTTGTTTAAAAACACCTTAAAATTAGATATTTCTGTATTTTTTTTCTTAAAGTAAAAGATAAAATTTCAATAACTACAGTTTATTGGCATTTATTTTTCAGTTTTTCTCCAGGCTCCTCTTAATACAAAAAAGTTCAGATTCTTCCTTCCATAATACATTTAAATTATGACACCTATAAATCGGACAGAGATCGTATTTTACTTTGGTGTTTATTTGGGATAATTGTATTTAGTTATAATGTACTCCATAAGTTGACATAGTTATAGGCACTAAGGTTTGGAAAGACTGGGATGATTGATCAGATCAGGCCTTTCCGACCACCTGTCTAGACTAAGTAAAGGCCAATGTGGTGTGTTGGGGACCAGAAGTATCTAACTCCTGAAGCCCTCAACCACCAGAATCCTAGCCATAAATATTATGGTTTTCCACCCACAGCAAACAAGTGTATTCTGAAACCCCAGCTGACAGGGCATGCTAAATTATGAATATTTTATAAGAGAAACATATTTTGTTTTTCACAATTACCCTCTCAGCAGATTTGTTGAGATTACCAAAATATTCAACTAAGTTAAATGTTAATACAGGTTCTAAATGTTACTTCAGCACTGACTAATGTTGTAAACAAAATGTGTAGCTGTGTTTGGAGAAAAAATGATTGTGCCATTACGACAGTATTTTCATGTTTTTTTTTTTTAGTTTTTTTATTTTGAAGTAATTTGCACAAAATCAAAGTAGCTAAGCATTGAGGCAAGGGTACAAATTGAAATTTTATTCAAAGGCTACTCTCAAAGACAAATTGCCAAGAATTTGAACACTTCTAGACATGAGGTGCAATATTTGTTACAAAGGCAATTAGAAACTGGCACAAATGTTGACAGAAAAAGAGCTGGGACACCAAAAGTGACAACTGTGGCTGAAGATAAACACTTGATTATTGAGAGCAAAAGAAAGAAAAGGAAGTAATTTTAAAATTTGTTTTTATTTTGTGTCTATTTTGCAGATAAATTCTTTTATAAGTCATTATTATATAAAGGTGAGGATTTAATTTGGTTTTAGTTGCATTTTGTAGCCAGGTGTTTATTCGGTTTCCTTTTTATATTTTGGGGTAGAGTTTTGTTACTTTTAAGAATTCTAGAATGGCTTTTGAGTTCAATGCTATCAAAGAGGGCCTTAACATTGGGCACATTGTAGAAGTATTTTTGTATAGGTGTCAATTTTTTTGCAGTTATTTAAAATAATGTTTGATATATAGTTTGTAGATCATAAAATATATTGTTAGTCATTTTACTACAAAAATGTATTGTTTATTTTTTGTGGGGATGTTTACTATTTGCCCATAGCTGGTATCCTAACAGGTGCTACCACCCCAGGTCTGGTGAATCTGGACATAACAGCAATTATGAGGTAATTCCATGTTCCTCAAAATCTGCCAATCAGAGGCCTTGTTGGCAGATATAGTTTATCGTCCAATCATTCCTATTAATCACAAGAGTGGGATTTAATAATCATAGTTTGTAAGATTACGGGTACATACAATTCAACAGTTCAAAAGAAGGGAATGTGGATAATCTTAGGGTGTATATCATGAAAACAAAAAAGCAGATGCAATGTTTTCTTCTTTAAGTGTAGACTTACCTTATGCCAATGACCTGATATGATCATGTGTGGACGTATCGGCTTTAACAACTGAAAAACATAGGAATACTAAAATTTACTCTTGTAAGAAACCGAATCTTTTGGAGAAAAATAGACAACAAAAAGAGAGGAAAAACAACTGGGAATAAATATGTTTATAAACAAACAGGGAAAGTTGTGTTGTGTTTTTGTTCATTTCAAATTAAATTCTAAAAAACGAAAATGACATTTCATTTTTTTTTTTTTATCCCTTTAACACCAAAAGCGCATAAATGAACACGAAAATTTGATTCATTCCAAGAGAAACTGAACACACCCAAAACCAGGTAGTACCATATTTCAATAGACAGCATTAACACCCATAACATGATCAACTAGAGTCAATGGAAATTTACAATTTTTTACAAAGTTGTAGATTTCCAAAACTGTATCTTGTAAGTAGTAGTAGTACCAAAGGGTTTAAAGTAATGTAAAAGAAATATTTTGACCAAATTTATTTTCATAAAATAATAAAAATTACCAATATTTAACCTTTGTGGTCATAAAAAAAAAAATAGTCAGAAGAACAGTTATTCCTTTGACACCGCTATTATTGCATTCACTTTTTAACATTTCTCGTGATGAAAGAAAAGAATATACATATATTTGACAAATGGAAAATGTTTCATTGAAACTAGATTTTGATTACGTCCATTACCTTTCTAGACTCCATCAGATCCAAATAATAAATTATTAGCAGTTTTTCTGCCAAGCTGCTGTTTCTCATTGTTATGGTCCGGTTCCTTGTACCACGAGTGATAGTCCAAGGTAGAACCAATAAAGAAGAACTTGAACACCTGTATGGGTGGCATGATGCAGGGTCCTGTTGCCAGACATGGGATTTTCTAGAAGCCACCCTCTTGATGCAGAGCAGCACTAACTCCTCAAGGCACTTGAAGTAGGCTTCCATGTTGTGTCCTCACCAACAATTTCAAGAGTTCTTAGAATGATCAGAGTTTGTTTTCTGAGCTGCTGTACCTTTGTAAACACCATTAGACTTATCCATCTCTTTATGAATAATCTGCACTGTTCTCAGATTGAAACCCAAACACTCTGAAATGTTCATGCTGGAGCTCCAGGCATGAATGCCAAGCAGTACACCATGTTGTTTCCAAATTTCTGGCAGAGTAAATTGTGTCATGGTGCTCGTTTTCTCACAGATGGTGCCCAACTGACCCTACGACACTGTGCAGTCAACAAAATCAAAAAACAAAAAACACTCATGTGAGAAATTAAAAATATTCAGGCATGTATTCAGATACATTATATATGGGAGATCATCAGAGAATACAAAATCATCTCACATGGTTCAATTTCGAGGATTGACTTTTATGTCAATTTTTACTAAGGTCTTATCACTGGCATGTAACAATACCTGACAAAACAGAGTGCCTGTGTAAACACATAAATATACCAACTCTCCCTTAATTTTCTTACTTGTTTAGGCAACAACAGTAAAATGGATACCACTTAGAAAATATTTGTGGGGGCAGAGAAGTAGTGAATTCATACCTAATCAGAATTTGATAAACAATCAATAGATTATAATGTAGATATAAAGTGGGGGGTCAATTTTACATTACACGCAATATATAAAATGATCCCTCATTTTGTGGCCACGGTAGATTCTATTTATTTATATACCAGAGAATATTTCACAACATCACCCACATGATGCCGATGTGATTATATTAAAACGGAACGCTGATCTTGAAAAATTTCAGTTATCTGTTTTGATTAGTCTTACTCTTATGTCCATCGGCTTTTCATATTGAATTGAATGTAGTCTAATGTTAATTATGTTTTATGAATATGTCCTGAAGATGGTCTACTAGACCGAAACATCCGATGTTGACATTATATTAACATTAAAACAGCATAATTGCATATTAGGATTTTTGTTTGTTTTTTCCGTATATTTTTCTTCATACCAGAGAATGTAAATAAATCTAAACGATGTAGCTAATCAGTATTTCATTGGCTGATTTGATTTTTTTTATGGCTTATTAACTCTTTGCAGTTTATTTAAAGCTAGAAAATATTTTTAGATTGTAAGAATTTTTTTGTGGGGGAAATAATAATGATTTAGTGATACAAATCTTACTAATTAACCCATATCTGGGGGAAGAAAAGGTGGATTCATACCTAATCAGAAATTGATAAACAAACAAGAAATTATAATGAGGATGTAAAGTGGGGGATCAATTATATATTACAACTAATATATAAACTGATCCCTCACTTTGTGGCCAAGGTAGTTTCTGTACATTTATAGTCCAGAGACTAAATTAATCTAAAAGACATATCTATATAGCTAATCAGTATTCCATTGATTAATTCATTTTTTATGGCTTATCAACCCTTTGCAGGTTATTTAAAGGGACAAATAAATTGTTATTTAACTTTTTATTTAATGTCTTTTTTCTTTTCATTTTTATTTATATACTTATTTATTCTATCTTTTAGATCATTCAAGCCAGACTTTGTTCTTGTGCGACAGCATGTCCGAGATGCATCTGAAGACTGGAGAAACCTTATCATGGGATTCCACTATGGTGGGATCCCAAGCATCAATTCATTCCATTCTATTTATAATTTCCAGGACAAACCTTGGGTTGTAAGTAAAAAACAAAAAAGAAAAGAGTTTTCATTTTGGATCATTTATTTAAAATACTTGGGTTTCCGTTTTCATAAATGATTTCACTAATTATGATTTAGCTATTTGAATTTTCTGATAAATCATAATTCTTAAGCTAATAACTGTTATCCTCATCTTAATTGTCATATTCACAATGTTTTGGCCATTGTATGCTCCGGCTTTCTTCAGGTGATTGGAATTTTGAACCGAACCCTTTATTTCATCCACCAAAGTAGATTGTTCTAGCTCCACATGCCATACCTCTTCTGGATGTCTCAGTTATTTACCTCATCTCTCCAAGTTTTTTTGGTTCGTCACTGCTGTAGCCTGGTATTGAACTCACAACTCTTTGAGTCTAGTCACTGGATCTAGCCAACGTCTTTATCCACTGTGCCATCTTTTCTCAAGGACTATGGCCAAATTGTGGTGAATATGGCAATGAAGATGAGCATAACAGTCCAAATAATGTAAATATAAAGAACCCGTGTAAATTCCACTATCACATCGTTAAATATTTGAGCTTCACAACTTTAACAAAATATTGCAATAACGGTCATAAGTTTAAATGTATGCCATAATTTAATCTTTATCACTCTGTATGTGACTTCATTTACTGTGCAGAAAGTTTATCTTACTACTGAAAGTGACTCTGATCATAGAATTTGAATTTGTTTAAATTTCATAGTTGTGTTGTCATATCCTGCTATGGCAACAGAAAACATCTTTGACTGAAATTAACAAAAGGGGTACTGCAATTTAGAGAAATTGAAAAATAATGCAGTGGAAGGGGAATTAATATTAATAATGCAGAGTGTTAAAGATTAAAGAAATAATAAAGTACAAATGAAAATATTAAAAATTGACAAAATGTTTTATTTCACTGCAGCAGATATTAAAAACATGAGAGTGTTATTGCCTCACTTATATTTCTTTCTTTCTTTCTTTCTTTCTTTCTTTTCCATTCCTTCCTTTCTTTTTTTCTTTCTCTTTAATTCCTTCTTTTCTTTCTTTCTTTCCCATTCCTTCTTTTCTGTTCTTTCTTTCTTTCTTTCTTTCTTTTCTTTTCTTTCTTTCTTTCTTTCTTTCTTTCTTTTCCATTCCTTCCTTTCTTTTTTTCTTTCTCTTTTATTCCTTCTTTTCTTTCTTTCTTTCCCATTCCTTCTTTTCTGTTCTTTCTTTCTTTCTTTCTTTCTTTCTTTCTTTCTTTCTTTCTTTCTTTCTTTCTTTCTTTCTTTCTCTTCCATTCCTTCCTTTCTTTTTTCTTTCTCTTTTATTCCTTCTTTTCTTTCTTTCTTTCTTTCTTTCTTTCTTTCTTTCTTTCTCTTCCATTCCTTCCTTTCTTTTTTTCTTTCTCTTTTATTCCTTCTTTTCTTTCTTTCTTTCCCATTCTTTCTTTCTTTCTTTCTCTTCCATTCCTTCCTTTCTTTTTTCTTTCTCTTTTATTCCTTCTTTTCTTTCTTTCTTTCTTTCTTTCTTTCTTTCTTTCTTTCTTTCTTTCTTTTTTTCTTTCTCTTTTATTCCTTCTTTTCTTTCTTTCTTTCCCATTCTTTCTTTCTTTCTTTCTTTCTTTCTTTCTTTCTTTCTTTCTTTTCCATTCCTTCCTTTCTTTTTTTCTTTCTCTTTTATTCCTTCTTTTCTTTCTTTCTTTCTTTCTTTCTTTCTTTCTTATTATGTATGCTTTCTTTTTCTCACTAAAACCAAACAGTATTTCTAATATATCTTCCATCTTTCCTTGCGATCAAAACAGAATGGTCCCTTATTTACCTGGAATAATGGCAGGACATAACACATGTGCTGACCAACTTGTTAACTAACAGAGGAGCAAGCAGAATTATAATATGATGGTAACATAGCATACATAGTCAAATGTTCAGATGAGCACTCCATTCTTTAATCTCAGCAGTTCATATCTTTACAGTGAGAGCACACCATACTACGTCCATAGATTTGAATCACCATCACTTCCTCCACATTCCTATGTAAAGGGAAGGTTCCACTCAGACAGCAAGAACTGTTACTTTGGGAAACAGACTCCCACATACTTTCCTGAATACTCTAATCTTAACCTCTTCAAATCAAAGATCAATGATTATCTATCTTTTATCCCCATAATTTTCATTTCCTACAATGTCTTCTTTCACAAAATTCACATCTCATTCATCATCACCATTTTAATAGTAATACTCTACCTTGAGTGGCTCTTGAGTCTTATATCGGGTGAACTTTAAATTAAAAATCATATACAAAACAATGGATGATTTTGACTTCTCTTCAAATTTGTATTTAAGGACTGTCAGAATTAACCTTTTTTGTTTTATAATTTTAGAAAGCAGCCATGTATATTGTAATACAAGAAAAGTAGCCAACATTAAATACGGTATCTTTCTCAATATTGAAGTGTGTATAAAAAAGACTACGCAAAAAATTACAGTTTGACTGTTTAAATGATGTCAGCTGTAAAGACATAAAATTAGTTTCAGCAAACATGAGAATGCTGGAATTAAACAAAAGTAGTTACACAAACAGACGCAAAACGCACTCCTTGAAAATGTATTTAGCAACATTCAAAAGTGCTTGTGAAAAAATAAAAAATAAAAATTAATTTGGCAAGAAAAAAAATAATTTGCCATTTACATGAAACAACTAATTCATAAATTTAAAAAAGTTTATAAAACATTGGATAAACAGAACTTGTCAATATTAATCAACCAAATATGTTTAACATATATTATAATTTTTATTTAAAAATATGTTTTCATCGTGACACATTTAAAAGAAACTAATAAGACACCCACAATTTCATTTTAATGAAAATTAATAACAAAAAAAGAACATGTAGATCTTTAAATGACCCATGTCCTATGTGCCTACATGAAAAATTATATATTAAGTTTCTGAAAAATAAAAATTTATTAAATCAAAGGGATGAAATTACAGTTTTTTGTAGACATTGTATTATATTTTCTTTAAAAAATAATTAATTAAAAAAATTTTGCATAATTATTTATTATTTGATCAAAAATAAGAAAGTTTGAAAATGCATAATTAAATTCTAATATTTTAATTTTACAATACTGTATATAGTTTATAAGTAAATATAATAAATGTAGTAGTTTAGATCTTTATAAATTAAAATATAAATATAAAAATATGACTTAATCATATTTGTTTTCCCCTCTAAGAAAATTCCAATGTATTTTATAAAATAAGAAAATAAATAAAATAAATAAATAAAAATGGCAATTGTATTTTAATGTATCTTAAATAAACCACAGTGTGATGACATGTTCTCATATAAGGAAGCCAGTATCAACGGACAGAATTTTCAAACTCACACCTCACCTTAACCGATACTTTGCTACCGTAAATTATACTTGTATCCTCATTTGTCAAAAAAACCAACACCGCTAAAATTTAAAATTTAAAATTCTCTTTCCCCCACCAACTTAAAGTATACAATAATTTAGCTTATATAATAATTTAGCTTATATAAAAAGAGTAAATCATTTTTTCAAAAGTTATTCAGCATTGCCTGAAAATGAAACTAAACTTTAAATTTTAAGTTTAAGATTAAATTTTTGTTTTGAAACATGGTAATTTTTGTGTTGCGATGAAAAAATGTTTTTAAATAATAATTATAATAATATGCTCTACTGCGTATGAAGCATTGTTTTAAAATAAATGCTAAAGAACTCTGGATTATAAATCTGATTATTCTTTCTTTTTATTTTGATATATCTATATATATATCTGTATATATATATATATATATATATATATATATATATATATATATGCGTGTGTGTGTGTTGATGTAAGTGTCTTTATTTATATCTGCATTCTTGTTAGAGAATCTCTTTGAACTGTTGATTTCCTCTTTTCTTCCAGATGTCACAATTGATTCAAATTCAAAAGAAAGTTGGCCCCGAAAACTTCCCCCTCATCGAACAAGCCTACTATCCTAATCATAAGGAAATGGTGAGTAATTTCTGGGTGAGTTTCACTTCTTCCTCTTTTGTTTGGCACCGCATCGTTCTGGACTGCTTCTGGTTATTGGAACTCTTCTAGCAGAAGAAAGAAATTACTTTTGTAATCTACCCAACCTTGTCGTTTTGGTTCTTCAAAGAATGGCTGTAGAGTGTTCTGTAGAATAATTAGATCTTTGGAATCGTTTCAAGTAGAAGTGGAATGGATATACGTAGAACAAAATCAATATTGACACCACTGGACTTGACCATTTTTATTAAAAAATTTTTCCTGTTCACGCACAGAAAAAAAATTGACATGACTACTATTTACTGGGCACACAATTCTGAAAGAAGATAATGTCTTGAATAAAACAGTTAGTAAAATGAAACGAGCCTCATTGGCTAAAATAGTGATGTTTAAAATTTCAGATAGATTATATCTGTAAAAGGATAATACGAATAAAGACAAAAGGAAAACTTATCTTAGCCAATGCATTTTGTCCTCTGAGGATCTTTATTAATCCAAATGCAAGTATTTTATTTTGTAACAAGTATTTATAGACAAGAGTAAAAATGTTATTGTTTTTTTTTTTTAATTTTTAAATTTAAGAAATACTCATGCAATCTTGTCACAATATTTTGATGAGTTTCATTTGATTTATTTGTTTAATGGAATATCAACTCCTTGTGGGTTATTTAATGCCAAAATTGTATTTTCTTGTGAGCCTTGGTATTCTTTTTTCCAATAATGTATTGCTGATAAATTTTTCTAATGTAGAATGGGAGATGGGCGTTGTCCTGAAAAGGACTATTTATTGCATATTGTTAAGTGTGAGCTGGATAGAGCTGCTGCTGCAGTCTGTCTGTGGCTGAAACAGATGCTACACTTTCATCACAGTCATCTTGGTGGCAAATGGCCTTTTTTGTCTGTTTTTAAGGCCTCTTTTTATGCTGAATCAGCCCGTCCTTCTAGGTGAAGTTTCTTCTTCTGGTTGTTTTAAAAAAGTGTTGGTGTGCCGACAGGATACAACAGGTGAAAAAACAAACCTTATTGAGGGATAGTAAGGAATCTGTAGAGGTCCATGATCGCCGACTTCTTGTAGGGACATGGCACATAAAGTCTCTTTACAATTTTAAAAATCATTACAGAAGCAAATGAACAGACAAATATGAGGAAATTATTACAAAATGAAGAGTAGATATTGAAATTTTTTAAGTACAGTGTAACCCGGATATAAGAGAGTTGTCAGGACCGGAGAAGAAGTCTCTTATATCCAGGTTTGGTCTATTTTGTTTAGGTAAGTATGGGAACACTTTGGGACCAGAGAAAATCTCTCTTATATCCGGGTCTCTTATATCCGGGTTACACTGTAATTTATTCCACCTCTATATGGGCACCATTAGTTGCACAAAGCACATCAAGACAGTAGTCGATTTCTTGCCATGTTCACTGCAGCATAGCCTCCTCAATGGTGGCAATGGCATCAGTGATCTTTTACTTTAGATCAGTGATGTTTCGTATCTTTGTTCGATGCATTTTAACATAACCCTATAGAAAGAAGTCCAAGGGAGTGATATCTGGTGAACAAGGTGGCCAGAGAATTGGGTCATTCCTTTCACGCCACTGATCTGGAAATATTTGATTTAGAAACCTACAGTCCCCAGTACACCCTGTTGCTGGAAAATGAGGGTTGGTTGAGCCATCTCATTGTGTTGCCACATCAATTGCCTTTGTAATTTAAATTATAAAGAAACTTTTATGGACGCCCTGTATTGTTAATTGTTATTCTTTGAATCCATTCTTTGCCACCATAAATATCGGCACTGCTTGTGTGTTAATCAATTCCATTTAGTCAACGATTTCATTTAAGTCATTGTCTACCTCCAGACCTGTGATCTTGGGAAATGGTAGTCATCAAAAAAAATTGCCCAAAAGAGTTTATTTTTATGTCCTGACTTTTTTATCTTCATTATTTTATTACCTATTATTGAATTATTAACAAGGTGACAACCAAAGCCCAGAAATGTTGATATTGATTTTTAATTAAATACTAATTAACAAAATTTTCTTTTCTTTTGTTTTTGCATTAATTTTAGCATCATTGTTGTAAAAAAAAAATTAGATTTTACAGAATTTGTCTAAATCTGTTTTACTGTTGTTCTTCTTGACCCCTTCTAAACTTACTAATTTATTTTGACCACCAAATAATTACACAAAATAGATAATTATCTTTTAATAATAATTTATTATAATTACCTTTGACTTTCAACAGGGTTATTTGATGACAAATTTAAACCTCAGTTGAATAATACACAACTTAGTCATAAAAAAAAAACATGCGACATTTACACAATGAAGGAAATCAAAACTCTAAGAAACTAAACATTATTCCAATTCCAAATCCAAATCCTGGGCCTTCTCACTCCTGTTGGAGAGGATGTAGCTGTACACACCATGCTTGACCAGTTGCATTTGTTATTTAACCCATAGTTGGAGGTGGATGGCTGTTGACTGAAGTGTTTATCCTTTAACAGTACTTGTTTTTTGTGTTTCTGGGGTTCCACTTACCCTCCTCACCCATCTGGTGGGGAACTGGTTTAGTTGCCAACCACTCAAGTTTTGAATTTAGAATTTTCCTTCTCCTAGACTGGTTGCTAACCAAGGCTATAGGACCCAGTCTGTTCTGCTATTTATTCATAGTTGTGGGGAGAAAGGTATCAGCACATAAGTGAATGTGACAAACACAACTGGATTCAAACTCAGTTCTCCAATTCCTCAATCCAAGCCGCTATCCATCATTCCACTGTGCCTCTCTCCACACTATTCCATTTCTCAAAAGTTTTGGATTAAACTGAATATATAGAAAAACATATTGAATTCCTAAAACTTTTCTTGTTTCTTATTTAATCATTAGACTTAAGACCATATCATGTTGAAACATTGGTTCTTGTACAATCACCAAAGTTAAGCAACATCAAGCCTGGCCAGTACCTAGATGGGTGACTGTTTGGGAATTTCAGGTACTTCAAATTTGGATGTGTGGATGGTGTAATGGATAATGGCTCAAAATTGTTACTCGGAGAGATGAGTTCCAATTCCAGTTGGGTTCATTATATTCACTTACACACAAATATCTTTGGGAAAAGGTATGAATCTACCTCTTCTCTAGCTATAGGTTAATTAGTAAGACTAGTATCACGAAACAATTATTATCTAAAAAAAATTCTTACAATCTAAAAGAAATATTTTCTGGCTTTAAATAACCTGCAAAGGGTTGATAAGCTGTAGAAAACAAATCAAATCAAATTTTTTTAATCCTTATATTGGATTTAATTCATATTTTTCAACTTCAAAGTATTTGTAAATTATGAATTTTGCTCTTATAACAAAAGCACATTAATTGTGGTGTCGACTTTAATGTGTAGAAATTTACAAAAAATAGTTTACATGTCTTTGACACCTGCTAAAATGCAAGCTTTGGGATCATCCTCCTCTCATGCTATTCCTTTCCACCCCCCTGGTGTCAGTAGCGGAGACAGCTGTGAAGACCCAGCCTAGTCCTGAAGAGTCATCAGTGGAACTCACAGAGGAATGTTGGTGGTGGACATAGTTAGGCAAGTCAGACCATCCTTAAAGCACGTCACAGATGATCTTCATGTCGACGGTTGGAACTCAAAAGTCTCAGAATGGATGGTCCTATGCCAGGAAGGCTAATTCACAGCAAAAGTTTCCCATGTCTCAAGGTCAATGTTGGCTTGTGCCAGGGATGTCTTCAACTGATCCTTGAAGCATCGTTTATGGGTCTCCGTGTAGATTCCTATCACTGGTAAGCTTTCCAAACAGGATGATACGAGGGAGTCAAGTGAGATGCATTCTGGTGATGTTGCCTTGATGCTGGATAGAGACCTCAAAGAGAGGAACTCATTTTTGGTGATGCAGTCTTCCCAACTGATGCAAAGGAATCTTCAGAGCTTCATTAGTTTACATGAAAACTTTATCCCTTTACAGAGATTGATTAACTCGGCATCAGTCACATGGGTTTTTTTGTTAACCCCAAATTTTTAAAGTACTCGTAGTTCCTTGTTGTTTCTTTTGCTCCCTCCCACCACTCTCTTCACTCAGTTAGGGTGTGTAACACATGGTGTGGCACAGTTGGAGCTCAGGTTGTCATGGAAGGTAGATGTCAGGAGACTATCCATTTTCAGAAATCCAAGATAACTGACTTTGCAAACATGTCCACCATTTAAAATTATTTATTATCTGGCATCTCATCAAAACAATCAACATTATACAATGACTTGATGTGCCTTTTGATGAGGAATTGGAAACTAAGGAATTGAGTAATTAAGATATTTCTATTCTGAATTTTTCATGCATTCAAAAATAAAAACTTTTAAAATTTTGAATTTGTAAACAGTCAAAGGAATCTCACCAATGGTAGGAAAATTGGTTCTTCTTTTTTTCTATCCTCTTTTTTTCTTTTTATCTTTTCTATTTTTTCTTTATTTTCTTTTTCTTTTTGTCTTTTCTCTTTTTCTTCCCTTTTTTATTTTTGTCTTTTCACTTTTTCTTTTCTTCTTTTTTCCTTTTATCTTTTCTTTTATTTTTCTTTATGTTTTTTCTCTTTTTTCCTTTTCATTTTGTCTTCTTTCTTTTCTCTTTTCTTCTCTTTTTCTTTTTGTCTTTTTTCTTTTCTCTTTCCTTCTATTTTTTTATCTTTTTCTTTCCTTTTTTATTTTGCCTTATTTCTTTTTTCTTTTCTTTTTCTTTTTTACTTTTCTCTTTCCTTCTATTTTTCTTTTTGTATTTTGTCTTTTCTTCTTTCATTTTGTCTTCTTTCTTTTCCCTTCTCTTTTTTTTTGGTAATTTTTCTTTTCTCTTTTCTTCTTTTTGTCTTTTTTTTTTCTTCTCTTTTTTTTCTTTTTGTCTTTTACCTTTTCCTTGCTTCTCTTTTTCTTTTCCTTTTCTTCTTTTTTCTTTTTTTCTTTTCCCTTTTTTTCTTTTCTCTT